CTGTCGAGGGTGCACTCCTGCGCCGCAGAGGCTGAGCGGATGGCCTGGTCTCCCGCGTGGGCACACCACCAGGTCCTTGTCGGCCTCGGTCAGCATGGCCGGAGACCAGGCCTGTCCAGGGACACAGCTGCCCTGGGTCGCCCCTAAAGCCCCCAGGCAGTCCCTCTCCTCTTGCCCGTTTCGTGGCGGGAGACGAGGTCCGAGCTGCCAGCCAAGGACTGTGCACTGCACGCCTGGACGTCCTCCAGGCTGCTGGGGAGGACGAGGAGCAGCGTCCAGTGGAGACACCTGTCCCAGCTTGTCACTGCAGCCCAGCTGGCCGGAGGCCATGCACAGGGCCATGCGGGAGGAGCCACAAGGAACTGGCGCATCTTTCAGAATGCAGAGACGAGGTGACGGCCACAACACGCAGCGGTGACCGGGGATGGGGGGAGGCACTGCCTTGCTGATGGACCGGCCCCTCTTCTGAGACCCAAGGGGGTGGCCATCGCAGTCAGCCTGGGCTGGTCGACCGCGTGCTTCTCCCAGGAGTGTATAACCGGCACTTAAGTTGGTCTAGCTGGCTGGAGTCAGATGCTCTGTTTTGTAACTGAATCCCTGTGCGCTTTTACTTAAATTCTGGCAGAGGGCTCCTGCACTTGCCAGAGTACCAGAGACAGAGACAGGGAGAGAGACCCCTCGCCAGTGCACGGTCACGCCAATCTCGTGGGGACCCAGGACTCGGAAAGGCTGGACGACCACGGCAGGGGAAGAACAGCTACACAGGAGCATCTCCATGCGCTCCCTGCAGCCCGGGAGGCAGGTCCCCACACTGCCTCCTGCCCGGAGCCCTCCGAGCCCTACCCTCACCAGGTGCGACCGCCGTGCCGGCGTCTCCCGGCCCCGCACGGCCTGTGTGTGCTCGGTCACGGCCCTCGTGGCGGGCGTGCCTGTCCACAGGCGTGTCTGTGGAGGATTTATTCCCACCCCCGCTGCCCCCTTGCCCGACACAGAGAAGGTGCCCAGCAAAGGAGGACGGCAGCAGGGTCTGCCCCGCCCTGGCTGCCCTTCCTGCAGGACAGCAGGGACGTCACGTGAGCCTGTGTGCGGGGCCGGGACCCGCCGGGGGAAAGCTGGGAGTCCGTGAAAACACCCATGAGGTGAGCCCGGTCTCTGTACTCACCCGCAGAAAGGACTGCTTCTCCCCACAAGCTTTGCATGTCCACTTGACACTCTTCTTCATCTACAACAAAATGTCAGAAATATGGTTTAGATTGGGGCCAGGCAGTGGTGCTGAGGTAATGCAGGTATAGCCACAGGGAGAAGGTCCTGGGTTCACGCCCCGTGGCCTCCCGGATTATGCGCACGGGCCTGGGACCTTGGCCGGCTAAGATGGGGCGGCTCATGGCATGAAGACCTTGTTGATGTTTCTATCTCTATCTCTGCCTCTGGAGAAATTAATGATTGGGACCAGCAGTTAGCATTAAGGCTATGTCGCTGGATTCCCATGTAGTAGACAGTGGTTCGAGTCCCAGACCTGGTGGCTTAAACATGCCAGGCAAGTGTGTGTGTGTGTGTGTGTGTGTGTGTGTGTGTGTGTGCCCAAGACCCCGAGAGGAGAATGGAGGAGAAGGGATTCCGACGTGGCCATCCCCCCTGGGGGGTGATTTCTCGCTTTCTGTCTCTCTGTATTTCTCTGTCTTTTTGGCAAGTGCAAGCACCTTACAGCAAAAACCTCTCCAAAAAAAAAAAAAAAAAGAAAAAGAAAAGAAATATAGTTCAGATCATTTAAAACTAGGTGGCTCTGAGTCAGAAATAATTTCCAAAGAACAACGAAGTCCAGACACAAAGTGCCGAAAACCGAGCGTGTGACAAAGGGGGCTGTAACTGAGGAATGAGCAGTTTACTAGGGCCGCGGGGGAGCTGGCTGGACACCCGAAGCAGACCAGCTGAGATGTCTCCCACCTCACTCAGACTCTCCACCAGCCTGACGGGATGGGCTCTCTCCTACATGAATACGACGCCGTAAGCCCAGCTCTGAAGCTGGCGACGCCCCACAAGCACGCCACGGTCGAGCACAAGCCCAGTGGCCTCAGCGCCAGAGCTTGGCTCCTGATGCCCCAGCTGACGGCATCAGGAGCGGAAGTCAGCGGTAGGAAACCGGGATGAGGAGAAGCCCTGTCATTATTCACTTACTTACTTATTTTGGGGGAGAGGTTTTTGCCATCAGGAGCGTGCGCGCACCAGAAAGACAGGGACAGGCGGACAGAAAGAAATCCCCCCGGAGGATGGCCGCACCGCAATCCCTTCTCCTCCATTCTCCTCTCGGGATCCTGGGCACGCACGCACACGCGCCCGGCGTGAGTTTAAGCCACTGGGTCTGGGACTTGAACCACATGGGAGTCCAGCGAGTGGCCACTACTCTGCTGGTCCTAAGCCCTATCATTATTCATAGATGGTATTAGTTTGTACTGGAAAACCCAAGGAACCAAACAAAAGACTACTAAAACGGTTAAATGGTAAAATAATCTAACCTAAGGGATGGGCACAAATACATTGCCAAAAACAAATACAGTTTTGTGTAAATAAACATCTAGTTAGAAGAGATAATGGAGGGGCCAGCAGGTAGCGCGGTGGTTATGGAGCTGGACTCCCACATGGCTGACGGGGGTTCGAGTCCCAGACCTGGTGGCCTGCTTTCTCACTTTCCACACCCACCTCTGGTAAGTGCACATGCCCCTGTAGTGAACTTAAAAAAACTAGTGAAGGACGTAGTCACTGGTAACTCGTTCGTCCTCTTTTTAATTATTTATTCAATTTTATTTATTCATCTTTCATTTTAATTTGACCAGAGAAAGGCAGAAAGAGAGAGAGAGAGAGAGAGAGAGAAAGCCACCAGGTCTGGGACTCGAACCATGGTCGGCCATGTGGGGGTTTCCAGCGTCCCAGCCACCCACCACTGCGCCACCTGCTCGTCCCGGAACTCGTTAGTTCTGAAGAGGTGGTGAGAGAGCATAGCATGACAGGCTCTTTGCACCAGAGTCAGAACAGGTCTGCTTCTGACAACTGACAGTCTGCCAGGGGGCATATACGCTCCAGAGAAAGACAGAGCGAGAGACAGAGACAGAGGGGGAAAGCACCCCCTACAGCACGTGACCACACCGCCATCCTGTGTGCCTCTCCAACGCTGGGAGTTTCAGGTGCACGCGCACACACTCCTGCCTTTCATTACTCGGAGCTGCTGGGCCCAGGACTTGAACCGCATGGTCAGCTAGGTGGGAACCAGCTCCCCTAACCGCTAGGACAGGGCTGGCTCTTCGGATCTTTACTAGAAATGGTTTCTCCGAATCAGTGTTCTCATCTCTGGTAAGAGCAGTGATACCTGTCCGCAGGAAATAACCAGCTCTACAAATCAATAATTACTGCGGTTTATTTCCAAGCAGAGTATGAGCGACCTAGGCCCGGAGAGGAGGCAGACATGCCTTTCTCGGGGTGATCAGGAACAGGGGCTCCTTTCATTTGATTTTGAGAGTGACAGACAAGATTAGTGAAGAGATTTCCATTGGTCTAGCCCAAAGAGGCGGAACATGCAGAAGTGGGGAGCTTGTAGGGTAGAGGTGGGTTCCCCAGTTCCTAGGCTGGTGATTGGGAGCTTGTAGGGTAGAGGTGGGTTCCACAATTCCTAGGCTGGTGACTGGAAGGGAAGATCTGTGTCCTGGGAAGACATTCGTAAATGTACACCTCAAGGAAAGGGAAGATCTGTGTCTTGGGAAGAGATAAGCAAAAGAATATACTGTCACTGGTTGAAATATCCATCTCAAAGATACCAGCCAGGGACAGGATGGGGAAGAAAGCAGAGAAGATGGTCTGTTAGTGTTTGTAGGCCTGACTCCCCCTAGGCCCTCTGGAAAGGGCTTTGCAAAAATAGGAGAAAGCAGTCAGACTTCTGTCCACACACAGCTCAGGTTAGGGTTACGAACTGTAGGAACTAGGAACGGTCCTGAGGTACAACAGACGTAATTAAATGCTGAAGGTTGCCTGCGGCTTCAAACCACTCTTTGTTTAAAAGACTTTTGCCAGGACCAGCAGGTGGCGTGGTGGTTAAGGCACTGTACTCTCCCACATAGCCAACCAGGGTTTGAGTCCTGAATCTGACAGCTTGCTTTCTCACGTCTTCTCACTCTCACCCTCTGTCTCCTGTCTCTCTCTGCTCAAATTAAAAAATAAATGAATGAATAAAAAGAAAATAATAATTATTTAAAAAAAGACTTTTGCCACAGGAGAATGTGCTTGCCAGAGAGGCAGAGAGGGAAAGTGAGACATGGGAGGGGGGGAAGGCCACACTGCAACCCTATATTTTACCAGGATTTTGGGCATGCACACACACCCTCCCAGACTGGTTTTCAAGCCACAAGGTCGGGGACTCACAAAGCTGGCCAGGTGGGATCCAGTGCCTTAACCACCTGCTGGCCCCGAAAATGCCCACGCGAGCACGCAGTGGACATGCAGAGTGATTGGGAATGCAAACGACAGTCATCTACGTCCCACTCTTAGGACAGGGTCCAGGAAAAGGGAGTTTCCAAGCCCCCGGAGGGGTGCTCACAACGTCTCGGCATTAAATGCAAGCTCACAGGTACACAGTCCGCTCCGGCATTCCAGTCCGCTCCGGCATGCCTTTCTTAGATCTTTGGCATAGGGCAGCTGTGCTGGAAGCCAGAGGGAGGAACGTGGGCAATCGCGGGCGTGAACAGTGCAGGCGGCGCTCGTTCACCGGCGGCCGCGCGGGAGCGGCGACCGCACATCCGGTCCCCTGTCCGGTCCCCTGACTGTCATCCCCCTCGTGTTTAAGAGGAGCCACTTTAGGGGCGAGGCTCTGAATAAAGGGTGCTACTCTCAACCTGGGTCCCCCAGATACCTACTCCCGGTTCTCCAGTCCCGGGAAACGCGACCCCTGCTCCCGCCCGCCCAGCCCGCCTCCAGGCGCAGCGCCGCCGCGCGTGCGCGAACGTGCATTATAGCTCCGCCCCTGCACGGACTCGGGCCCCGAGGCCACCACGCATGCGCGCCAGTCCGGCTCCGCCTCCGGGCGGGGTTTAGGCCTTGGCAGCCGGCGCAGCGCTTGCGCATGCGCCCGCTCTTCGCGCACTTGGCCGTCTAGCGTCTAGTGCGGCTCGGTAGTGGGCAGATCGGTGCTCCGACCCCAGCCAGTGTGAGGGAGGCGAGAGCCCCCCTCCTGGCCCGTCTTCTTTTATCCTGTTCTAATGCCTTTGGTCAAAACGCGTGCCCCAAGGGCTCCGCCAGCTTGCCGCGTTTGTTTCCCATTCTCTGAGCCTCCTGAACTACGTGGCTGTTTCCAGCTTGGTGGATGTTAGGAGTAAGCGGTTCCTTGTGCTTGCCACAGGACGGGGGAGTGCTGAGCTGGGTTGTGTAAAGTCCTGCATTCTTTGGGGCCAGGTCACTAAAATTAGAGACCTTCCCTAGGCGCAGAGCCAAGCCACAGCCACAATAAAAGTGGTAGAAAGAGAATGAGTAGGAAAGAAAGACTCTTGGGAAGAAGTGCACCCCAAGACCTGCGGGCGGGCAGGTGGCTGGGGAGCAACTGCGACCGCAACTGGCCAGGTGTCATTTTATCACGGTGGACTGAGCGTTTCACAGCGGGAGGTCTCAGGACCCACGCCTTTGGTTGAATTCCCGGGCTTTCTCCCCACGTGGGCGTCTCCCTCGCAGGTGACTCTGGGTCTGCGGTGACCTCACCGCGCATGCCCAGTGTGCACCGCGATGGCAGGAGCATCCCTGTTAGGGCGAACCGCCGGATCAGTTTATTCCCAGTGGGAATCGGATGTTGATGAAACGTCTGGCTGGGTCTTTGTATTGACCAGGAATGATAAGAGGGAAATGTACAATCATCCCTGTGTGTCTCCCTCAGGCACCGAGGAAGAAAACGGTATTTGCCTCACCTTCCCGGGGCCAGGAGCTGGGTGGGAAGAAGTCTCATGGAGGCTCCGGTTGGAACTCCTGGTGAGCTGCGGTTGATGTCACTTGTGTCCTTCTGCTACCCCTTCAGGGTCGCCTGCTCAGTTCTGGCCACCTGCCTCCCACAGGCCCTCCTTAACTCGTGCTCCTGGTGGCCTAACCCGGGCTCAGCAGCCAGATCCCACCCAGATCCCAGAGAACAGCTTCCCAGAGAGGGAGTTGGGGACCAGAAGCAGCAGGAACCGAAAATCAGCCCCCAGAGAAGCCCCACTTTGGCTCCACTGTGTAAGGTGGAGGGGCGAGCCCGGCCCTGGGCAGGAGGTAATATCTCTCCTCTCCGCTGCCCAGAGGGTCCTATGTGTAAACCGCCTCGTTAAATTAAAGTGGCAGTGGCCAGCCGTGGCCTGCTGGTTAAGGCAGCGGGGTCCCACTTGGCCAACCAACTTTGTAGTTGGGTCCTGGACCCAGTGGACCCAGTGGCTTGGAAAACAGGCTGAGCACGTTTGCCTGCATGTCCAAGATCCCCAGGGGAGGCAGCCATGCGGAAGGGGTTGTGAGACCATGCCTCATAGGGGGCTGCTTTCTCCCTCTTCCCTTCTCTGGTGAGCGCACGTGCCTTCTGGCAAAATCTGAGCTCTAACATGTCCTGAGAAGGACGTGGAGTGCTCTCTCTGCAGGGTGTGGGTACAGGGTAAAGTACAAAGGACCTGGCAGCCATTGGTGCTCTGAGAGAATCCCTATCGCCAGATTTCTTATATTTATGCACTGGAGTTCACAGAGACGGCCATGGACATAAAGTCCTAGACAGCTGCTTGCCTGTAATCCAGGCCCATTACAAGGCCTTTTGAGTGACAGTGCCAGCCCGCACGTCTTGGGAAGCAGTTACAAGCCCTCCCCAGTTCTGTGATGTAAATGGCCTCATTCATTTTCAGGGGTGTGTGTGTGTGCTTGGGCGGGGAGGTTAAGACCAAAGGGGATTTTAATTTTTATATATTTTCTAAAGTTTGCACAATAAGCATATGTCAGGAAAAAACAAGTTAATTTAAAAATCAAGAGACTGAAAACAGACGGACATGGCCAGACCACGTGTGACGCCAACACTCTGACCCTCAGTCTCCGCAGACTCAGGACAGGAGCCAGGGCACAAGCTCTGCAGCGGTCGGCGGAGACCGTGAGCGCCTGGCCAATGATGGCTGCCTCCCTGTTTTTTTGCACCGCCCTTTCCATCAGCGAACCAACCAGAGGAAGCCAAATAAGATTCCCTAAGCCAATCACGTAAGAGTCTGCTCGCCTCAGCTTCTTCCAGCCAGTCGCCTTCCAGCAGAGCGCCCCGCCCTGGTCCCCCGCAGGGGCCGGCGTGTGCTCGTCCTCGCTTTGGGCCCAGGACGCTCGCGCTCCCGCAGAGCGGAGTGAAAGCGTCGGGTGAGGAGCCGCTGGATTCGGAGCCCTGCGGAAGGCCACACCGACATTCCAGTACTCCAAAGAACTTAGACACGTTGCTGTTCTACTCTTTTGTATTTTCCTTTCTGCAATAAACATGTAACCATCAGAAATGTATACATTTTTTGTTGGAAATTACGAATATAATTTCCTGAATGACTTGGCACAACTGTATCCCTTAGTAAGCAGTGTTAAAACATTATTCGTGTTTACTTACAAAAAATATATCAAAAATAACTTTATCATTCACATTTTATTTAGTGTTACTGTTTTGGGTTGTTAGGCATTCTAAATATCATTCCAGGCTGAATGATGAATAGATGAAGGTACTATATATAGTACCTTTTGTACATTCTTTCATTTATTTAATTGCCAGAAGGTTCGTGTGTGGGTGGGGGGGGATAGGAAGCCACCCTCACTGGGCATGGTCACATGGCAATCTCATCACTTCCGTTTCTCCTTCCTGTGGGATTTTGGGTATGCACACTCGCGCTCAGAACACGCAGCTGTAGTAGGCTGTGTGGGATTGAGATCCCTTAACCACTAGGCTAAGGCGTCGGCCTGAGAGCATTGTTTTTAACTTGCTATAGGCATGTGTGCTTACCAGAGAGGGAGAGGGAAGGTGACAAAGCACCCTTGGGGGGTTGATCACATGGCAGCCCTGTCTCCTCCAATCTCCTCTTGGGATTCTGGGCACACATACATGTGTCTGGCATGATTTTCAAGCTGGGTCTAGGACTTGAACTGTACAGTTGGCCCAGTGGGATCCAGTCCTTAACCTCCATGGCACCTGCTGGCCCAAGTATTGTTATTTTAAAGACCAGACTAAAATGTGTAGACAGGAAATTGGTGGCGGCCTGGGGCTGTGAATGGATTGGAGGGTCTTTCCAGGCTGGACTGGAGATGGCTGTGCAGCCCGAGTGTATGGGAGTCACCGACTATAGCTGAAAACGAGCAGGCTGCGTGGTGTGCGTGACACCTCGACACCGCCGAGCTAGAAAACCACCCACAGCCACGGGCGTCTCAGCGGCAGCGTACGAATATAATTTCCTGAATGACTTGGCACAACTGTATCCCTTAGTAAGCAGTGTTAAAACATTATTCGTGTTTACTTACAAAAAATATATCAAAAATAACTTTATCATTCACATTTTATTTAGTGTTACTGTTTTGGGTTGTTAGGCATTCTAAATATCATTCCAGGCTGAATGATGAATAGATGAAGGTACTATATATAGTACCTTTTGTACATTCTTTCATTTATTTAATTGCCAGAAGGTTCGTGTGTGGGTGGGGGGGGATAGGAAGCCACCCTCACTGGGCATGGTCACATGGCAATCTCATCACTTCCGTTTCTCCTTCCTGTGGGATTTTGGGTATGCACACTCGCGCTCAGAACACGCAGCTGTAGTAGGCTGTGTGGGATTGAGATCCCTTAACCACTAGGCTAAGGCGTCGGCCTGAGAGCATTGTTTTTAACTTGCTATAGGCATGTGTGCTTACCAGAGAGGGAGAGGGAAGGTGACAAAGCACCCTTGGGGGGTTGATCACATGGCAGCCCTGTCTCCTCCAATCTCCTCTTGGGATTCTGGGCACACATACATGTGTCTGGCATGATTTTCAAGCTGGGTCTAGGACTTGAACTGTACAGTTGGCCCAGTGGGATCCAGTCCTTAACCTCCATGGCACCTGCTGGCCCAAGTATTGTTATTTTAAAGACCAGACTAAAATGTGTAGACAGGAAATTGGTGGCGGCCTGGGGCTGTGAATGGATTGGAGGGTCTTTCCAGGCTGGACTGGAGATGGCTGTGCAGCCCGAGTGTATGGGAGTCACCGACTATAGCTGAAAACGAGCAGGCTGCGTGGTGTGCGTGACACCTCGACACCGCCGAGCTAGAAAACCACCCACAGCCACGGGCGTCTCAGCGGCAGCGAGAGTGGCCCCTTGTGGCGGACACTGCCAAGGCAAGCTGCTGCTGCTGCGGCGGAGCAAGGGGACAACCGAGGCCCAGCCCTGCAGCTCAGCCCTGGAGGCCCTACCTGGGACCCCGGTCGGCTTCCTGGATCAAGGGCAGTGGTGGGCTGCCATCAGGCCCGAGGATATCTGCACACGGACCAGGAGCTCAGGGCTTCCCCTGCGGCAGGGCAGGGCAGACCCTGCTGCAGACCCTGCCCAGCCACGCCAGCGAGCCCTGCACGTCCCCATCTGACCTGGTGGACCTTCTGACTGTCTTCCGTCCTGTGGGGGACGGGTGGCCTGAGTCCTGAGCCCGGGGGCAAGCCTGGCCCAAGCAGTGGCTGATGTCACATCAAGCAAGCTGCTGTCCAGCGTGGGCATTTATTAAGGCATCAAGCAGCGCAGTTTCCAGCCGACCGAGAGCCAGGCGACACCACCCTGAGGGCTGTGCTGAGGGTGGCGAGGTGAGCGGATGGCACGTGGCGTGGCTCCTGCAGTGCCCACCATGGGCACCGGCGTCTTCTGCCCCTGTTGCCCAGCCAGGAGGCTCAGGCCAACGGCTCCCGGGAGCACCTCGAAGGTGTTCACTGCCTAGGGCTGAGTGGCCACAGCCATGGGAGGGCGTCCTGGGCAGCAGGCACCCTGTGTGGCCCGGCTACGGCTGGGGTGTGGAGGCCAGAGCCAATCAGGGGCGATCTGGGCCTCTGGCACTGCGCAGGGGCACTGGGGTCCCCTGCAGGGAAGAGGAGGTGAGCTCTTCCCTGCCTGGGAGCAGCTGGCGCCAGGAGACAGGCCAGGGCGTCTTCTAAGGCAACTGTGTCCGCATCGGCCTTCTGTCCCCTCAGGGCTCCTGCTGCTGGGAGGGGGGGGGGAGCGGCGAGCTTGTCTTCAGGAGCACGAGAGGGAGGAGGAGACCGGCCTGCCCAGAGTGGCTCTGTTCTGAAGGTCACCCCGAGACCCCGGCCTGCTCGTGGTCACTGGAGGTGCTGAACTGCCTCTCCACCTTCTTCTGGTCCTTGATCTTGCGTCCGATGTCCACCCGCTTTTCAAAGAAGCTCACCAGCACCGATTCTGTCAGGATGGAGGCCAGGATCTGCTCGAAGGAGATGCACCAGTCGGCGTCCACAGAGCCCCCTGGACGTGCGGGGGCCGCGGGGCTGGGGGCCTCCCCGCCCACCAGCACTGTGTCGTCCGCCAGGTCCTCGCACTGCAGGGAGCCCGTGCTGACCACCGAGTACGAGGACATGGACATGTCGTCTTTGGTCTCGTCATCAGACAGAAGCTGAGGGGGTGACCCCTGGCCCTCGCCGCTGCCCCCCTCGGCCACCACCTGGCTTTCCTGGGGCACTTTCCCAAGGTGGGTGTCTCCGCCAGCTCTGGCCTGGGGGTCCTCTGTGGCTGGCGGCTGAAGTTCCCCTGCTGGGTCCTGATGGGTTTCAGGCGTGGGCAGCTCCTCCTCAGTGGCACTGCTGTGGTCCCCGCTGTGGGCACCGTCCCTCGGCTTCCGGCCTGTCCGCACTGAGAATCTCTTCCCCACCTCGCCGATGCGGAGCAGGAGGCTGGCCACGGTGGCGATGGCGTGGTACAGCACCTGCTCGGCGGGGTCCTCGCTGAACATGTTGTACAACGTCTTACACAGCTCGATGAACTGCTCCTTCTCGGCAGGGGACAAAGACGGGGAGTGGCGTCAGGTGCGAGGCCACACTCGCATGGGCCAGCCTGACGGGCAGGGTGTCGTCTTGCTCATCACCTCCACAACTGGGCCTCATCACTCCCGTTCCCAGATCAGCCCACTGAGGCCCAAGGGGGAAAGCGGCCTGCCTGGGCCACACGGCCCTTTTAGAAAGGCTTGCTTTCTTCTCAGCACCCAGAGATGCACTTACGGTTTGGAATTTTTCCTTGTTTTTCATTTATTTCTTCTGAGAGAGAGAAACAGAGAGACTCAAAGAGACAGAGAGAGAGAGAGACAGAGACAGAGACAGAGAGACAGCACCCCCAGCAGGGTTCTGATGCTGTGCCCCAGCCCCAGCCTGCCAGACCACAGCATGCCTGAGCCGGGTTCTTGGGGAGGCCTCCTGCGTGGCTGCCCAGTGGAGCACCGCCCTTCACTGTGGCACCCCGTGCAGCCCAGCCCTGCCCCTTGCCACTGCTGTATTGGGGAGACGCGCGTGCATCACGACTCCTCAGTCCCCACCAGGCCTTCTTCACTGTGTTGGGAACCACCTTTGCTTTTGGTGTTGTAAAGAGGAGCAGCCCCAGCTCTGGCCCAATGCAGCGCTTGGCGGGATGGCAAAGGTGAGTGCGGCCTCAGCCTGTGGGCGAGGCGGGGTGCAGGGCTCCCACGCACACCCTCTTCTGGAGGGCGGACCACCAGGGTGGAGGGCGGACCACCAGGGTGGAGGCCGGCCAGCCGAGGGCCATGGGCAGGCTGCAGCTGGAGAACCGCACTGGATGTCTGCCACTGGGTCCAGGGCTGTGGCTTCCTGGCCAGGAGACCTTTGCAAGGTACCGAGTCCCGGGCCTGTGAGCGGGCAAACCGCGAGCAGCCAGCAGGGTTCTAGCGAGAGGTGCCAGGTGGGCTCCGAGGGGCAGGGGTGTGCAGTGACCTGTCGGGGCACCTGTGAGCCTCCGCCGTGGGAGGGCCCTGCCCCAGGGCTTCTCTGCTCACAGTCGGGTCCACTAGGTGTCCTGCGCCATGGACCAGCCCCCGTGCCTCCGAGACTGGGGTGCGGCCTGGCCAGAGCCCTCGGACAGTTCTGTGGCACTGACGGACCCACCTGGTTCATCTTGGGAAGGTCCTTGATGGTCTCCTTCTCGGCCTCCTTCTCCTTGGCCCACACGCGGAGGTAGTGCCGGTAGTCCGGAGGGCTGGTTGCCTTCCCCTCTGCCGGTGGGGAGACAAGGTTAGTCCCGCCTGAAATGGGAGAGAGGCGGGCTGGTGGCAGCGGGGAGCAGGGGCTAGGGGGTGACAGGGAAAACCCCCAGGATGCCTGGGTCTCCCCAAGGTAGCTGGGGGGCTGGGCCTGCGCTGAAGGTGCCCCGCCCCGGAAGGTGGTGACAGGACACGTGGAGGCGGGGGAGGGGCAGGGAGAGGGAGCTGCGGGCTGTCCCCGGGCATCGGCCACTTGGTCAGGGCAGTGTCTGTGACTCCTCGGGGAAGGGGCTCTCTGGCAGTGACCTGGGCTGAGGGCAAGCGAGGGCTGCCCAGACCCCTGAGCCGGGGACCTCTCAGCGACACCAGAACAGCCAGCACCTCCTCGCTTCTCTCCGACTTCCTCATTCCCACTTCCTGCTGGCTCTTCCTGTGGAAGTGGCTCTGGATCACCGGAAACAGAAAACACAGGGTTCTTCTGTTACCCCCGGGGAGGTCTCCGCACCCCACCCCGCCCGCGGAGCTGCCTGGGGGAGACCGGTCCTTTCTTCATCCGGTTACACCAAAAGCCACCGAGCCCTCACTCCCTTTCTCAAAGGAGCCCAGGCCAGGCCACACTGCCTGACAGCGTGGACGTAAAGTCTGGGCACTGAGGGGTCCCATGGTTCCTCTCGGGTCCGCCTCATCCCGGGGGTGAAATCCCGAGACTCCCGGACAAAGGGCTCCCAGTTTCCTGGCCCTCAGGACTGTAGGAAAGACAGAGCCCGGAAGTGAAGAGGCCGCCCCTGCCCTCCAGGGACTGACCTTGAGCCTCCCAGGGTAGGGACAGATCCGGATCTGAGGCCAGAGGAGAGGCTGAAGGGACAGCGGAGGAGTGCAGGCAGAGCGGGGGAGACGGAGACAGAGACAGAGCAGTGAGCACACGCGGGCGCTGGCAGGGCCTGGTCCCCAGCGACCTCCAGGAATG